CAAACGCGGAGTTTTGTACGACAGTAGCAATTTTCCCTCAAGTGGATGACCTAAGGTTTATCAATCCATGGGAGGCATAGGCTGAAGATGGTATCTCTCAAACAACCCTACAACCAAATACAAGAAATCTCTTGTGTCCCCAACACACCCAATACAATAGTAAAAGTGTAGTATGGATAGTAGATATAGGTTTTTGTAATCTGAAAATATAAAAACAGCAAGGTAACTAGTAACAAAAGTGAGCAAAACGGTATTGCAATGCTTGAGAACAAGGCCTAGGGTTCATACTTTCACTAGTGCAAAGTATCTCAACAATGATAACATAATTAAATCATATGGCAATCTCTCAGCGTGCGACAAAGAGTTACTCCAAGGTTCCTATCGCGGAGAACATAAGATGAAATTGCTTGTAGGGTACGAAACCACCTCAAATTTATTCTTTCTGATCAATCTTTTGAGCTATTCCTATAAGTGTCACAAACCGCCCTAGAGTTTGTCCTGAAATAACACCATATGATACACATCAATCAACCCTAATGTCACCTAGATACTCCAATGTCACCACAAATATCTGTGGGTCAATTATACGATATGCATCAAACAACTTCAGATTCATAATATTCAATCAAACATAAAGAACCTCAAAGTGTGCCCCAAGATTTCTACCGGAGAAACAAGGATGAAAACGTGCATCAACTCCTATGCATAGATTACCCTAATGTCACATCGGGAATCCGCGAGTTGAGTGCCAAAACATACATAGAACACCCCATTCTCATCACTGGTATCCCACGCAAGACATACATCAAGTGTTCTCAAATCCATGAAAGTATTCAATCTGATAATAGTGAAACTTCAAAGGTAAAACTCACTTCATCACAAGAATATAGAGAGGAGAAACACCATATGATCCAACTATAGTAACAAAGCTCGTGGTACATCAAGATCGTGCCAAGTGAAGAACACGAGAGAGAGAGAGAGAGAGAGAGAGAGAGAGAGAGAGATCAAACACATAGCTACTAGTACATACCCTCAGCCCCGAGGGTGAACTACTCCCTCCTCATCATGGTAGCCGTCGAGATGATGGAGATGGCCTCCGGTGATGGTTCCCCCTCCGACAGGGTGCCGAAACGGGCTCCCGATTGTTTTTTGTGGCTATAGAGGCTTGCGACGGTGGAACTTCTGATCTAGGGTTCTTTTCGAAGGTTTGGGTATTTATAAGAATTTTTGGCATCGGTCTCACATCAAGGGGGTGCTTGAGGGGCCCATAAGCTTGGAGCGGGCCCCCGGGCTTGTGGCCTCCTCGGTCACCTCCTGGTCCAACTCCGGTGCTTCGGGGATCTCTTTTGGTCCATAAAAAATCATCGTAAATTTTCAACCCATTCCGAGAACTTTTATTTCTGCACAAAAAACAACATCACGGTAGTTCTGCTGAAAACAACATCAGTCCGGTTTAGTTCTAATAAAATCATACCAAAACCATATAAAATTGTTGCAAACATGGCATGAATACTTCATAAATTATAGATACGTTGGAGACGTATCAGCGCCCCCTAGGGCGCATCATTAGAACTTGTGGGGCCCACATCAAGCCTCTGTGGCCCATCTTCTATATGAAGCCATTTTCCCTAAAAAATAAAGAGACAACTTTCGGGAGGAAGCGTCGCCATCTCGAGGTGGAACTTGGGAAGGAACACTTTTGTTCTCCGATGGAGCGATTCTACCGGGGATACTTCCCTGCGGGAGGGGAAATAGAAGCCATCCTCATCACCAATGTTGCTCTCATCATGGGAGGACTCATCTCCATCAACATCTTCACCAACACAATCTCATCTCCAAACCCTAGTTCACCTCTTGTATTCAATATTTGTCTCAAATCTCAGATTGGTACATGTGGGTTGCTAGTAGTGTTGATTACATCTTGTAGTTGATGCTAGTTGGTTTATTTGGTGGAAGATCATATGTTCAGATTGTTAGTAATATATTATTCTCCTCTGATCATGAACATGAATATGATTTGAGTAGTTCTGTTTGTTCTCAAGGACATGAGAGAAGTCTCGTTATGAGTAATCATGTGAAGTTGGTTTTTGTTCAATGTTTTGATAATGTCTTATGTTATTTTTCCTCTAGTGGTATCGTGTGAATGTCGACTAAATGACACATTACCATGCTTGGGCCTAGGGGAAGGTATTGTAGAATTAATAAGTAGATGATGGTTTGCGAGAGTGACAGATGGTTAAATCATAGTTTATGCGCTATTCTGTAAGGGGCTGATTTGGATCCATATATTTCATGTTATGGTTAGATTTATCTTAATTCTTCTTTCGTAATTGCGTATTCTTGCGAGAGGGGCTAATCATAAGTAGATTGTTTATTCAAGTAAGAATAACACCTTAGCATCAGTCCACCCACATAACAATTTATCAAAGCAATGAATGTGAGTCAATGAATCGTGATTAAAATGACTAGACAGAATTACCATGTTTCCTCGAGCACCTTTCTACTTTTGTTACTTGTTACTTGCTACAAATTATCTTGGTATCAAATTATCTGTCACAACTACTTTACATCACTTGCAGAGAATACCTTGATGAAAACCGCTTATTGATTCCTTCTGCTCCTCATTGGGTTCGGCACTCTTACTTATCAAAAGGACTACGATCGATCCCCTATACTTGTGGGTCATCAATGGGCGGCCCAACTAGCTCATCAACAAAAATTACATCATCAGATTACTCTGGTGGCATGCATAATAGCGCCCAAGTGCCTAGCCCCCACGGTGACCTAAAGTTTGGCATCATCCTTAATGAGCTTTAGAATGTAGAATGGTGGTGTCGATTTCTTTCGCAACACTCTGGCATTCCTCTCGTTTCAAATGACCCAACACCCAAGTGACAAGCATGGTGAGGATGGCCATGGCCTTACGAAGAGCTGTGTTGGGCCTTGACATGTTGGTCCACCATTTCTTGACAATATCCATTCGACCATTGATCCATCGGTAGGTTCGCCGAACCGAGTCAATCCTTCACTATCCTCCACACTCGCAACGTGAAACGACATTTCTAGAAAAGGTGGGGCTGTCTCGTTGGCTCTTGCATAGCATGCATAGCCCACAATTAGGCCATCCCTGCCTTTGCAATCGGTCCGCCGTCCAATGCCTATTTTGCAATGCTAGCCAGGCGAAAAACTTGACCAGGGGTGGGGGCAAACCTTACAAACAGTCTTGTCCATGGTGGTCAACGTTGAGCCCATGAATTGTGCCTCATACGCGGACATCGCGGAGTACTCATATGGAGATGGAAGTGCTCTAAGCGGACCCAAAGGACCACAAACTCGATAATGTGGCCCAAAGTGATCTCCACGGAAGGGTTTATCTTGCTCGGCCAAGCATTGTCCCTCATGTCCTCATGCACAGTCCATCGCTTGTGCTTGCATGCCGCGAAGATGGGAGAAGCGACTCAATATTTGTGGTTGCAATGGCAAAAGGGATGGTAGAAGAGGCAGAGGCAGATGCAAATGAAGAACTTCTAGTGCTCAAGCATCTCAAACTAGAGCAATATTTGGTTTGGACAATTGTTAGCTTTCTTGGATGCAATGTGGTGATGCTGCTTTTGTTACATCATGTAATTAACTTGTTGTGATGATCTTTTTGTTATAGTCACTTAAGAGCAATGTTGTTGTCTGTATTGTTGAAGAGCACATGCACAACAAGTAATCTCTAGGAAACACGCATAATGATCATCTTCCGCAAAAGTGCTCAATTCATCTTCACACATTGTGACCCCAATGAAATAATAACGGTACACTGAGTTTTATTTCCCAACTAACACACACATAGCAAAGTGTGTCCATAGCCAACTACCTCATTTGATAAGCCTAACTAGCTGAACGACTAGAATACACACAAGCAACCTAACAGCATCGTCTAGCCTTTGCACTATCTGGCAAGTGCGTTCAACATCCAGTTAGAGTACTTCTCTTTCAATAAAGCTGTTGCGTTCTCCAACCGTCATTCCATGCCTCTAGTCACCTGCAACATTATCTAGCATGCACTGCTGCTTACCTCCTGCAAATGTGTGACTGCCCCCTGCTATCTCCTTAATTATTTCATGAACAGGTGTAGGATCAACTCCATTTGCGACCCGAAAAATCTCTGTAGAGATGTCCCATTTCCAGAAGTCACAGGCACTGCCGTGATTCTACTGAAGACAAATTTGCTAGCTTCAGAATCCCGGGCACAAAAACCTACAAGCCGAAATCTTTCAAGAATCTCCCCTCCGTTTTGCAGGTGTATGGACGGGGAGCGGCAACAAATAGAGGCCACTTACTCGAGAGAGGGAATAGGCAGCAAAATCTACCGAGTTTCAGAGGCGTGTTTCATCTCAACTGGCATAGGATTTGTTCGGAACTGATCGCAAATGGCTAATTCCGGTTCTTCCAAGGAGCATAAAAAGGCGCATTTTACTCATGAAGTTAATTGTAAACACAGATGTTTTGTTCACTACCGTTACTAACATCTAAAGTCACCAACAGACTCCGTAAGACAAGTAGCTTTTCAGTTTATGTCACGTATAATTTAGTTTTCAGAGGTAAGTAAATTGAAGACATGTGCACCGTTCCTGGCACTGATCGGTACAAAAACAAGCAACTCGATACATATAGTAAGTCTGACTCACACCAACTTTACCTGAGATACTTTAGACAAAGCAAACAAAAAAATAAAACAATTACGATAAAGCAGACAAATTAGTGGTCCAAAACCATACATTAAGCATCTGAACAACACAACGAATGGACTGGTATCGACATGACTTGTGCTACTGTCTCAAGCTCTACAAAGTGTGAACGCACGTCACAAAACTAGATAGCTCATCAAACAAAACAAGTGACCACTCCATGTAAGAATTCTAGGAGCAAATCAAAATCAACCCATATAAAATATGCTGACTAATGGAGCGCATGCCACTTAGCACAGTCGATTTCCGTTCTTGAAGGCGTCATCAATACTCAGAAGGCGTTATGACATCATCAATCTTGAGGATCATCTTGACCACCTGTGTTGCCAGCAAGATCTGTTGCTGCTTGCCGATCAGAGTCTCGAAAACATTCTGTTCTTTCATGTCGTTGGTACCAACATCATTGCAATCAATGCCACAGCGGGAATTGTTCTCCTAGAAATATGTTCAGAAATGAAATGTTACCCTCAATTCAGAAGGAATGCCATAACAATTACTCCCTCTGTAAACTAATACGTATAAGATCTTTTAGATCACTACTCCCTCCTTAGGCTGGTCATAGTGGGGAGTAACTTAGACTAGTAACATACATATGTTACTAGTCTATGTTACTACCTTCATAGTGGGTAGTGTCATAGGTGTGGTAACATAGTTGCCTTCATTTATTACTTTGTAGACTCATTATGCATTGGAAACCGCTATGTGATGGTAACATATTATGTTACTCTATTTGCCTCTCTCCTCATTAACTACTTGCCACATCATCATTTTTGCTTATGTGGCATCTATGTTACTACCTATGTTACTCCCACTATGACCAGCCTTACCTGTTTATAAGGCTCAACTTAAAATCTTCAGATTTCCGTTTTATAAGGCTTGTTTTGAGAGTAGCTTGGTTAAAGCGCTAAGGTCTTTTCGATTTCTGCGTTGCATTTGATTCCCTGGTACCATTTTCAAAAGAAAAATAATCACAGAGCCAAGTCGTTGCTCCTTTCTTCCCTCAGCTGCATGCATGCAGCAATCTGGACATTAAAACGAGATAAAAAAAATGACCAGTGCATGTGCCATCGGGATGAGAGAGAGAGTGGGACGCATGAGGGCTTGGGGCGCTGTAGTTAATTGCATTGGCAATTGAACATGCTGAGATTTAATACCAGTATGCTAATTGGGCACTTTTCACATAAGCTCAATTCATTTTAGCCAATAGACATTTATCTTGGTTGGTGGAATTTCAGATATGAGCCTTATAAACCGGTAAGGAGGGAGTATTAGTTTACAGAGGGAGTAGTAGATATGAGCTCAAAAACACTGGTGACTGGCAGTGGCATGCCTAGTGCTGGTTTCTGGAACCCTCACATCGTACACTACATAATATGACTTACATGATGGTACAACGTGTACAGCATCAAGCACAATCAATGCCAGGTGGGGAAGGACCAAGGACTATAAGGACTAAGCACAGGCACTAGCCAAAAGTAACTTCTGAAATAAATTCTATCACAACCCCAACAAAAACACAGGCGGCTAATTAGTAGGAGTATAACAGAACAAGGAGGATGTTTTAAAGTGAGAAGAACAGGCTGACAACCGACATTTTAAAGTGACTGTCAAAATCAACAGAGAAAACAAAATACCTTGACATGTTGGGATTTTACGACAGTGAGAGTATCAATAGGCGGCAAACCACTGTTTTCAGCTAAAGCTAGTGGAATGGCATCCAAAGCATCAGCAAATGCCCTGATTGCATACTGAAAATACAAAGAAGCACAATTAGAAGAAAACATATATGGATTTCTTTTGTAGTACCAGTTCCAAAACCACAATTACCTGCTCAACTCCAGGATGCCGATCTGCTGCAGCATCAACAGCAATTGAGCAAGATATTTCTGCTGAGCCACCACCATACACAATTGAGTTGTTGATGATCAGATTCCTTGCAACACATAGAGCATCATGAATACTTCGCTTGGTCTCCTCAATCATCATTTTGTTGCCTGTGCAATACCAGAATACCAATCAGAAGATACCCATATACATTATTAGCCTAAATATGACTGAAATGTATACTAACTAAGACTGGAAGACAGCAGTTAGGCTTGGTGTTTCTCAAATATTTTGAGGACTTCAATCTTATAATCCTAAAAAAGTAACAGCACACAGCTAAATAGTACAGATGACTTTAATGTTATGATATGACTGTATAACGATTCAATAAGAAATATGGACATTATCATGAACAACAGAGGTGCCTAGGTTATGTTCAGATTGTGACCAAAGTGTACCTTCCCAATTTGTCGGTCATCACAAAAGCATTGGCTTTTTGTTTGGATGGATACCAACTGTTTGGCATGCAAATGTTCATTTACCAACTCTAGTTCATTTTCTATCCAATTTGTTGGCAAGCAAAACCTCAACAAAATTTTTGGCTAGCCAACTTTTTTGACAGGGCAACTTTGGGCACAAACCAAACATGTCCTTACTAAAAGCCCCAGAACTACATAACCAGTGAGATCCAAACAGGCAAGGAGTTATATTCAATACCAGTGAGGTATTGAATATATAGCTCAATGATGTGGATTAGTTACCAACAGACTCCCAAATCACCCAGATCAACATTTGAGGGTCTATTGGACGACTTTGGATAGTTCATGGCATAAATTAGAAATTTTGTAGTTAACTGGTGTCATTTTATAAGCCGTCTTGAGGTATGGCAAGTACGATAAAATATAATCACGATTAAAAACATGTTAGCATTTCTTCAGTTGTAGTGAAAACAAGAATTATTTCTCATGTATTACAATTAACAGTTGGTACGATCTAATATGGAGTTGACATGCATTAAAATTTTCTTCTAAAACCATTGCTTTGAAAATTCAAAGTACGAATACTGCCAATTGATATAACAATATCCAGGCTATCCAGTATTAACTGTAAAGTGTGTCTCGAACAGATTCGTGGTTGGTGGGATAATGCTTCCATGGCCCAACAAATCACTGAGCATACATGTGTCAATATGAAGAAAAGAAAAAACATATACATCAGAACATACCACCACGGATGAAAATAGTTACAGCTTTGGAATTGGCACACTTCTCGATGTATAGCATCCGATCTTTTGTTGTTCCAAATGACTTCTCTCTGACTAATCCAGCCTATTTAAGCAGGACAAGCAAACAAACATAAATCTTATGCTTTACAAAGCAAATTAAGATGGCTACCAAGCATATGCAATTCAAAGTTCAAACAATACATCCTCTGCATTCTCTAATGTAACTGCTGTTCAGAAGTGCAAGGCATTCACATGGTGTTTTCAAGAAACTGACTAAACCACTAACTCGGCTACCAAGATAGCATGATGGTTGAATTTAGGGTTGGAGATAAACATTCAGCATATCAAGTAGTGGTGAATGGTCGCCCTCAGAAACCCACAGACGGTTACATTCACTCTCAGTTGAACCCTCACAAGATAGCATGCATATTACTTGTTTGAAGAAAGATATAGACAGATCAGGTTATACCTTCCCAAGCTTTTCGGTAGTCAACTCTTGGAACCTTGGAACAATCCTCCCTCCTGCACTCAGTTCTTAAATGTTACGTACTGCCATAAAATATAATTTAGAAACACATGAAGAGAGGTAGGTTACCTGTCGCAATGGCAATTAATTCTAATTCAACACCACCAACCCATCTGACAGCCGGCAGCTCCCTTTGCATTAGTAAGTGATTGGCTTCATCATCAAACCCCCATTGACAAATAACTAGGGTTGCACCAACATCCTATAAAATGCACATAGTTACGTGATTATGTTTTGAGCAAATCATACACTGAACATAAAAAACAGATTGATGTGCATACACTTCGTACAGCATAACATTAGTAACATAAATGTTAATAAGGGGAGGTAGAAAGTGTTTTTTGCAGCCTAAGGGTATTAACAATAATGTATCCTATATATATCTAAAAGAGCCATCCCCACTAACTTATTTATCTCAACATGCAAGCATGCCACACCACCATACAATTATAGACGGGATAAGGCCCACCTCAACATGCAACTGTGCATGGGATTATTTTTCATTCTATTATTCTACTTGTATTCATAAATATTTACAACTATACATAATCAAATACAATAAGTCTTACGTATTTTTAACTTTGGTTCACGTCTTATCAATCAAAATATTTATATTCCACACAATCCAATCTCATTAAAATTAATATATTGCAACCAATTCCCGCAACACGCGAGGTACCATCTAGTTATTGTAAAAGAGCACACATCACAAACCAAGAATACAAAAACAAGCTACTCCACAATATATAAACAGTTTGTCCTTTATAGGCTTTTACCTTGCATTTCTGAACCATGTCATCGAAGTATTTCTGCTCTTGCCCACGCAGTGTCTGGAATTTCTCTACAGTGTCAATGTCAACCTTATGCTTTGTCTTAGGCTTCGGGGGCTCAAATGGGCAGGTCAGAATGGCAATGTGAGCATCCTCAATTCTCTTTGGCATTTGGGGGTGGCTCATATCTTTGTCAACAATGATTCCTTGTACTAGCTCAGTATCCTCGAGCTTCCCACCAACCTTACCTTCCACCTTAATCAAGTCCAAATTTACATCCTTCCTTTCCAAATCAGCGACCGCAAGGACTGCTTTGACAGCAATCTCAGCTAGAGCCCTCTTACAACGGCTAACACTGTAGAATCAGAATAATTGGACAGATCAGAAAGGTTTGAAATAACCTATGTAAAATGTACCCATGCAGAAATACTCCATCCATTACACATTGCCACTATATCATCAGCCCACCATGCACACAGACCAACGCTAACACTAAGAAAGAGTTAGCAAAAAATGAGTACATCTAGTAAGGCAATAAAGCAAGGCTAGAGTTATTTGAAACAGATTTCACTTGAGGTCAAGGACAGTTATACTAAAACGGAAGGGATACTTCCAACTTATAAGGCTGTAACAAATAGTTTTTCTGCTATACCAGAATATTTCTTTCATGTAATGTCCATTTTAGAAGTAGAACTGCGGAATTGATATTATTGTACAAAATGAGCTCAAGAGACAACGGTACAAGACAGTAACATCTGCAATTAAAATGACACCAGAAATTCTCCCAAACTGTAGGCAAGTATACTGTCCATAAATTGGGTTCTCACAAAACAAAGGGAACTAAACTGTCAATATGTTCCCCCTGACAGCCTTCATGTTGTAGAAAAATGTGAAGCCTGATTCAAGCCAAAATAATACTCACTCCGTCCTGAATTAGTTATCTTAGATTTGTCTAGATACAGGTGTATCTAGACACGTTTTAGTGTTAGGTACATCCATATATATGCACACAAATCTAAGATAACTAATTTGGGACAGAGGTAATATCTTATAACTCGGTTCTAAAGCAGCTGACTGATTAAGCACAATATGTTATTACTCACATCTTTGAGGACAAAGTTGTCATGCAGGTCTGCACCAAAGGCTCTATGTCTGTAGCACTGAACTCATATTTCGTGGAGATGCTTTCAAGGTGATCAACAGCTATCCTCGACGCCATCTCATAACCTTCGGCGATCCTTATTGGGTGAATACCACGTTCCAGCAGCTTCTCAGCCTGCTCCAGGAGCGACCCAGCCAGGACCACAACCCCGGTGGTACCATCTCCAATGTCATAGTCTTGACTGCGGGACAACTCCACCATGAGCTTCGCAATCTGGTTGTCAACATCCATTAGCTCCAGGATCGTCGCCCCATCGTTTGCTGAAAATCCATTGGAAAGAAGGTCAGTAAACAAAACATGAGACAAATCAATTCAGTACGTGAGCACAATAAATGAAGTGCTAAAAACACAACCGGATCTCCAGATCCACATAGGATGGGGCACCTCGCCTCACTTCAGCATAACATTTGCAGGAGTAAAAGTAAGAGCACGCTCGTACCCACTAGATAGAGATAGCTACAGAAATGGCAACCTAGCATTTCCCCGATACACAGTATTCCAATCCGAGCAGAGACATAACGAAACCAACAAACTAGCTCCACAAATCGTACCATCTCCTTCCCCAAGCAACAACATAACAGCACGAAAGTAAGGGGCATCCCACAAAGCTAGATCTCGCCATCATAAGACTCGCTGTGACACCTAAGAGAAACCCTGATCCTCAACGCACAGCCATTGCCACCAACGTCGAAGATCCAATGGCAGGCGAAAACTTCCGGATCTCGTACCAGGCTAACCGGAAAGACCAGACCTAAAACCTAAAACCAGGAGAAAGCGAGAGGGAGCGGGTATTACTGATGGTGACGTCGCCGTCGGGGGACTGGAGCATCTTGTCCATGCCCTTGGGCCCGAGGGAGGTGCGGAGGATGCGCGCTACGGACTTGCCGGCGGCGATGTTGGCCTTCTGCGCGTCGAGCCCCTGCAGCCGCGACTTCTTCTCCTGCTCCCGGAGGATGATGAAGGGCCGCCCGTACTCGTCGAAGGCGAGCGCCATGGCCGCCGGAGCGCTGGCGCCGCTTCTCCCAGAAACCTCCGGAAGGGCGGATCGGACGAGGACTGGGAGGGGTGCTGTGGTGGGGGGAGAATGAGGCGGCGGTAGGTTTCTGGAGGGAGGACGCGCCGCGGGGGCGAGGGTTTGTGGTGCTTTCTTCTTCGTGCTTCCACTTGAGAACTTCTGGCGGCTTCAGGCAAAACCCTGGCTGTGGTTTGGGGCCTTTGGGCCGGGATGAGCGCATGGGCCTGGCCAAGTTCCGTGGTGTCTAGGGTTTCTGGTAAGACCAAGTCCTGGCCATTTACGATACACCCAAAGGTTTTGAAAAGTCTAAACCTTCCTGAACCATTTTTATTGGAAAAACCTTCCAATCAACCAACTGATCTTCTGTTGTCTCAAAAAAAAGCCAATTGATCTTCTCGCCGCATCCGCCGCTCACGCGGCCGTCAGATTGCGATCCACTGGTCCACTAGATCGTGGTTGCGCGTGCAGCTTGGGACCACTTACCGCTTGCCTCTAGCGATAACAGGCAACGATGACCACATGTGCGAGGCAACGATGTTGCAGAAACAGAAAACAATCGTTCGATCCGCTCGACGAATCTAGCACCTACTCCCTTGTTTCCCCGCTTTCGATCCCCTCGATCTCGTCTCTCTCCCCATGATGCTCTAACACTTCCTCCATTCAATCTGCTTCTAAAACCATCCACGAGCCAAGCTCCAGCCATGACGGACGGGGGTGTCAATCTACTTCCCAAATCATCCACAACCCAAGCTCCAACCAGAACGAACAGTGGTGTTGATCTGTTTCCTAAATCATCCATGGGCCAAGCTCCAGCAATGGTGAATGGCGGTGTCAATCTGCTTTCTAGATTATCCATAACCCAAGCTATAGCCATGGCGTAAGGAGAAGATAGAAGATATTTGTTTTTGCAACAAAGGGGTTGTTACTGCAACAAGGCTTTTCTGCAAAAGGGCCCTATTGCAGTATTAAAGAACTCATAAAAATGATTCTGTAACAAGACCTTTGTTGTAAACAAAATCTACAACGAGATCTTTGTTCCATAGAAACTCGTAAAAATGATTCTGCAATAAGACCTTTGTTGCGAAAAATATATACAACGAGACCTCTATTGCGAAAAAACTCATAAAAATGATTCAGCAACAAGATCTTTGTTGCGAAAAAATTATGCAACAAGAGCTCTGTTGCAAAAAAAATCTGTAACAAGACCTCAGCTGTAGAAAATACTGCAATAATGTAAGTGCATCTAGTGCCACCCCTATTTGGTTTTGGAGTATTGACGACAAACCTAGTTGAGGGACTAATGTGTTTGTGAGAATTGCAGGATAACACAGGTAGAAGTCCCTCATTGATTCGGTTTTCCTACCAGAGATGACCCCTAAAAATGTATGAAGACATTGAAGTCAAAGGTGGTATGTGAAGACATTCACATTGAAGACTATGACAAGAGAAGACATCGCGTGAAGACTATGGAGCGAGAAGACTTAGCAGTTTCGTCGTTCTGTGTTTTTTCTTATTGAGTCATAGGAACCACCGTACTGTTAAGTGGGGTCCAAGAGAAACAGTCAAAATGACTGAAGTGATGCTTAACCAAAATCCTATGTCTTCGAGTGAAGACTATGAGAGCAAATCTTGTCCAGAGTTGGATAAGTCAGCTTTGCTTGTAGCTCAAGTAAAGTTGTCGTGTGTGTTTGAAATCTGACCGTTGGAACACGTGTTAGTTCCTTAGTGACCAAGGGTCATTTCGGACAAATCAGGTCGGGTTGCCTAGTGGCTATAAATAGCCCACCCCCTACAACCATAAACGGTTAGCTGCTCAGAGTTAGTACACGGCTTTTGTCGTTTGAGAGCAACCCACCTCGAAGCCTTTGAGAGAGAATTCCTTGCGAGGATAAAGCCCTAAACACTCAGAGCCAAAGAGTGTTAGGCATCACTTAAGTCTTCCTGTCTGTATGATCTAAAGACTTATTACACTTGAGGACTGTGAATCCTCCAGCCGGTTACCGTCGCGTTCTAAGCATCCAAGAGTCATTGTGGATCGCCGGTGAACGAAGTCTGTGAAGGTTTGGAAGTCTACCTTGAAGACTTACCAGAGTGATTGGGCGAGGACTGGGTGTCCTTAGCTCAAGGGGGATAAGGTGAAGACGATGTCTTCTGAGTTGAATCTCAGCCTCCCTAACCAGACGTACAGTTGTCACAACAACTGGAACTGGTCCAACAAATCATTGTCTTCAACGAGTCACTGGTTTCATCCTTCCCTTCCCTTTACTTACTGTTGGTCCTTGTGAAGTCACTGTATGATTGCTTTATCTTTTGTCTTCACTGAGTGACTGCTTGTTCTGATTGGCTTCACAATATCTTCCTACATGATCTTTACTGCCTAGCTGCTATTAGTCATTATGCTTTCACTCCATTGAATATTTGACTATGGTTTGCCTAGTGTAGTCTACCTTCCGCTGCATGGTAATAGGTTTATTTCTATCGTTTGTCTTCTAAACTTCCATGCTTTAAAGACTTTCATAAAAATCGCCTATTCACCCCCCTTTAGTCGACCACTAGCACTTTCAATTGGTATCAGAGCAAGGTACTCCCTTGTTTTGTGTGATTCGGTTTAACCACCTGGAGTTTTAGCTATGTCGACTGCAGGGATAATTAAAGTCTCCGCTGTGTGCCCCGTCTTCGATGGAATTGAATATCCCTACTGGAAGAATAAGATGCGCATGCATCTTGAAGCCATTAATGTCGACCTATGGTATGTCGTCAAGAATGGCATTCCCAAGGCTGGTGAAGGTGTCACCGTTGCTGATGTCAAGAAGTTCGTTCAATTGGACTCCACTGCCAAGAACATCATCTGTGATCATCTGACCAAAGAACAGTATGGCCGCGTGAGTGCTTTGGAAACATCTAAGCTAGTCTGGGACTGGCTCTCCAAGGTCAACAAAGGCGTCTCAACCCAGAGAGATCAGAGAATCAGTGTCCTTCGCAACCTCTTCGACCGCTTCAAGAGAAATGACAATGAGAATGTCCAACTCACGTTTGATCGACTCACTAACATCACAAATGAGCTTCAAGCCCTCGGCGATCACCAAGCATGAAGTCGTCAAGACACTCCTGAGATCACTTGATAGCTCGTTTGACACTCTAGCCCTGACGATTCAAGAACATCCTGACTTCAAGACACTCGATCCGTCTGACATACTTGAGAGGTTCAACACACATGAGTTTCAGCTTTCTAAGAAAAGAGATATCTACGGTCCCAACTATGGGTGAACTCGTGCCTTGAAGGCAAAAGTTGTCTCCTCATCTGAAGAAGAATTTGGCAGCAGTTCTGATGATCCTGAAGACATTGGAAAGGAGCTTGCTATGCTTGTGAAGAAGTTCCAAAAATTCACCAAGAAGAAAGGCTTCAGAAAGTCCTCAAGATCAAGCTCAAGGAATGATGAAGCTTCTGCTCATGACTACAAGAAGAGAACATGCCACAAGTTCAAGAAACCTGGCCACTACATCTCTGAGTGTCCGCGGTGGGACAATGAGAACAAGAAGAAAAAGAAGAGCAAGGAGTATGATTCTGACGACAAGAAGAAGAAGAAATACTCAAAGTCTTCTTCCAAGTCTTCCTCAAAGTCTTCATCACACAAGAAGAGCTCATCTGGCAAGGCACGTGCGTTTGTTGGCAAGGAAATGGATTCAAAGGAGGAGTCCGCTTCTGAGGAGGCAGAGGTGGGGTCTGAGGAGGAGTCCGATTCTAGCATTGCAAGTCTGGCTGCAACTTACGTTGCCAAGTCCATCTTCAACACTGAAGACAATGTCACCAACGTCGATGCTAATGACAAGGACGACTCCACTCCCACCTACTGCTTCATGGCACGCGGTGCCAAGGTAAACTCACGCGCCACTCACTATCAAATATCAAGTGAAGATGACTCTAATTGTGGTTCCAAACCCAGCTACAAAACACTTGCTAAAATTGCAACTGAACAACAAAAAGCTATGGAACATATTCAAAAACTATTAGACAAAAGCGATGACCTGTTGGACGCTGAAATGACTCGATCTTAGTCCTTAATTGAAGACATAAAAAATCTTCATGTTAAGTATGAGGAACTTGAAAGTCGTCATGAAATGCTCTCAACATCTCATGAAAAGCTTTCCTATGATTATCTTCAAAGGAAGCAAGACCTTGAAAAATTGAGAGCGGCTCATGAAGATCTTCAAAAGGAAAACGAGTCACTTCACGCCAAACAGATCAGTTCCGTTCAGGAAGGTTTTGAACCACCATGTCTTAAATGCATTGAGCGTGATAACACTACTTCTGTTGCTGAATGTTCTACTGCTGCTACTTTGCAATATCTTCAACTGTTGATGTGATAACTAACCCCTCTGCTGAGGATGCCACTACTATTGCTGATGAGAATGCTAGGTTGAAGACATTGCTTGAAACAGGGATGTTCAAAAGTCTCAAAGGGCATCAGACACTATGTGATGTCCTCAAAAGGCAGATCCTAAACCGAAACCCTAGGAAAGAGGGTGTTGGGTTCGAAAGAAAAATGAATGTTGATGGCTCTTACTGGAAACCTGAGCAGTACCCCAAAACCACATGGGTTGCTACAAAGGGACCTTTAGTGGATCCATCCACCCTATCTAGCTTCACTTGTGCTAATCCCATTGTTATTGATGAATCCTTTGATGCAAACTATAAACTGTTTAAGAATCAGAATGGTGAAGTGTTTGCCAGGTATATTGGTACTAACTGCAGCAATGGGCCGCCTATGAAGAAGGTCTGGGTGCCGAAAAGGTGTTTGGAGAATCTTCCTGTGAATGTCGTCATGACACCACAAGTGAAGAAGACAAACCCCAGACCACAGGCTTCATACGGCCCAAAGGCTTCATATAGACAGAGGACTCACCTGAGTCGCACTAATGCAAATGTTTTGCAGGAAAGCCATACTCAGGCCTATGAATATGAGCGCGGTTCATCAAAT